TCTTGAAAAGTCTTGAAAACAGCAGGAAGTGTTGTAGGTGGACTCCATATGCTTTCAGACTTTTTGATTTCCTTTATAAAAAAGTTCAGGGAGGACAAATTTAGAAGAACCCGTCCTTCTAAATTTGATTTACGCGTACAACAAAACTGCATTCTCAATTATGATGAATGACGTATTTTTTCAAAGACTACGGGAAATGTAAAGGTGTGTGAATCAAATCAAAACTAGCTGGCTTGGTTTGGAAAAAGTTTGGGTTAAAATAGCTACTGTGTGTTTGTTACGTAACTTAAGTTATGTCGCCTACTTGTAAAATATGTTACATACTGTATATCACGTTAACTACAGTACCTTGCGTATACAAACCTACCTTCTTTTACCTATGATCTTTTACAAAACCTAACTAAGAAGTTGTCAACGCTGACTGTTGGATTAACAAGGGGCACGAAAAGTAGTCTGAAAGACTTGTGTTTATTTGATCCATCCTAACCGATCTCTCAATTTTTAGGATGACTTTTGCCTCCTTCATGCTTTGCGCAGTGAAGCAATGTTTGCCAGACAGCAGCATTCTAGATCAAGTTTCCTGAAAACAAAACAATGTAATCATGTATATTGATTCCACATAACCTTTCTAAGGCTTAGCTTTTCCTATGTTAATTCTCCAGGAGTGCATCGGCCTGTTCTCTTGTTACTACAAATAAATCAAATTTAGATTTCAGGTCTTTAGTCAATGTCCAATTTAAAGCAGTAGCTTGAAAGCAATACTTATTCTCTTCTATTGGACTTTCTGTTAAGAGTTGAACTCAAGAGTTGAACCCTACAAAAATGCATGCTATTAGTATTCCGATCCGACACTTTGAATAAATGTAAATGATCTTCAACTATGAAGATTGCCAGGACATGTATGTAATAATCCCTGCTCTGCCGTGCAGTTAGACACCTCCCATCCATCAGGATCGATTTCTGTCAGGCAGCCTCTGAGTGGATGACCAGGGTCGGCTGTGGTCTGAGGCGATGGAGCTCGAAGAAGAGGAGACCTCACACCGCGCTTGAGTGGTGGAAAGATCCGGCCAGAAAATAAAACTTCAGCGAGCGTTGCATTACAGCTCAGTGCCACAGGGCTTTCTCTGTTGGTTTTACCAACACGCTCGTAATGACAGTCACTGGCAGCGTCCAAGCATTCGTGACAGCATCCTCTCTGCTAAAGAGGCGTTGAGTTGTCTCGCTCACGCTCCCATGATCTGATGGGCTGCTGGGAATTTGGGGTTATTCAGAGATAAGATTGGACAGTTGGGATGGTTTGCTGTATGTTCCTCCATTGTTTGGAGGAACATACAGCAAAACTTCAATGTCAGCTTAAGTGTACAGTATATTTTCACTGCCTTACCATGCCATCAGACAGCCTTTTGGACGGGGAACTGAATCCGTTAATACTAAGGCAGTCATTTTCGAAGATGGCTGAGTTGCTCGTCTACCGCTGCTGCCTTAATGTGTTACTTTGTTTATGTCATTTTGTTGAACACCATAGTCACACAATAACACAAACACACTAGCCAATCAATGAAACATTACACCATCAACTCTTTGTGTCAATGGTTAGAAGAGAGCATAGATAACGACTTTAGTTCCCCGAACGAAAATATGTTTGTTGTTGCCCCTCTCCACTGCAGTACATAGGTTCCTGCTGGTACTTCTGTCTGTCTCTCCGAACTATGGGGCATGGTGACTGCCATCCACTGTAGGTTATACATGTCTATGCAAAGGGCCCTCATACAACCACACTTTAAAAAAAAACGTATCGCCATATGTATCAGCTAATGAGGGTGGCCAACAGTGGCAAACGCGCAACAAACGGCCCAAAACATTTACATTAAGACAAACTATGTGATATATAAAATCACAAATGTGCCAAAACACGTGCAAATTAAGAAATAGCTTCACCAACTTGCTCAACATTTAGAAATAATTTACAAGTTTACTAAAAGCGCTGCAAATACAAAATGCTGCTAGAAGCTGCAAGAAGCTACAAAAACAACGGAGACGGGGACAATGCTGGGACTGTAGTACTTGTTGACATTCGGGGATTATAAAGTTGTACAAAACTCTCTCTAGCATAGTTAGTCTGATTCAGAATCGTAAGAGTGTTGTCGGTAGATTTATAATTACTAGGTTAGCTACGTTAGCTAGCTAGCTTACAGCAAATCTGCAATAATATTGGAAGGAATCATGGGATCACATTGTTAAAAAAAGCCAATAAATTACATTTAAGGTACGTTTCCAGTGATTGTTGCCCTTAAAACTAATGTCAACAAGCCCTCCGGTCGCATGCTGTGTGCATCACTTTTTTAGTGTACCTGTTTCTGTTGTGTTTTGCAGCATGGCGCATTTGTGTTTTCATATTTGCAACATGTTTCATGTGATGTAAATGTTTTGGGCCGTTGCAGTGTGTTTGCGCCTGTCTGCCACCGTAGATAATGGGCCAAAATGACATTATAATATTTGTATTACATCTTAAAAAAACTGGCATCAGTCAGGCTCTAATTAAAAAACATGGCACGCACTAGATATAAAGAATTTAAATGATATGTGTTTTATTAGAAACTGTGCACCGAATCAAGCATCCACCTCTTGAACAATCATTTTATCTGGAATGTTTAAGATTCTATCAGGATGTGGAATTTGAATTAAAAACAATTTCTAACTGACAACATAATTTCTTAAAAATAAATAAAAAAGCTAGGTTTTTTTTCTTCATGCAAAGTTTGAGTCAACAAACAAAAACAAAATAAATATAGGTGTGAAGCAAAATATCACTTTATGAGGAAAAACTTACAGTAGAGGACCATACTGCTTATGGCTGCTGATATGGGGCTTGATACACGATTTGTCTTCTTGATATACAGCATCTGTGATATCTTCAAAATAGGTTTATACATCTTTTTTTACCACAGTGTCATATGCTCATAAAGTACAATCATTGGTTGTCCCTGTTGTATTGTTGCTGATGGAATTGGATTACATGATGACTGTATGGCTTCTGAGTTAATTCAAAGTTTTAGTGACAATCAATCTGCATACAAATACAAGCTGAAGCTACACATCTATGACCATTTTATGAGAAAATAAATAATTTAGTCCCAAATCCTGACTGTATTTTCTCACTTTAGGCAAATTACAAATAATAAATACTGGTAGAAGAATGTGACTATCTTCTACAAACGATTGATGGGGGTTGATCTTGGCACAAAACAGTCCCGTGTTTGCTGTTGTATCCCTGTAATTTGTTTGAATAGCTTGTGTGATCATGAAATGTGTTGTGAAGGGACAGACAATGGATATGAAAGATGGCAGACATGCTGATAAGTAGTGCCACGGTGCTCTAGTCTACACCAATTCATCCACACTGTCCTCCAGAGTTACCTCCAACACAGGTCTGTCAAAAAAAAGCTGCCATATAATCATTTTAAATAAGTGATGGGACTTTTTCACATTTCACACTGAGGAGTTTGTATGCATTCAAATAATACATCAAAATTAGAATTTGGATTTTTAACCTTGGTAAATAAATAAATAAATCATTTAAAACGTAAATAATGGTCTGTATTAGTGTGCTTGTGCAGCAACACCTGTTTCTTTTCATGTTTCTTATTTGCAATCTCTTAAACTCTTTGCACATTTAGCAATGAATTATTATCTGTACTTGTATTATTGTTGTGGCGTTAATCCTTGTATAAAGAACTAATCATCATGTCTGCGACAAGTTGAGAGGACGTACCTACAGAACATTTTGGTCACGCTCAGCAAGTTGCTTTTTAGCCTTTTGTAGCTCTTTTTTTCTTGGTTTTAAATCTCTACATTTACTGTATTCTGTAAATAAACTATCACCAATTGTCAATCTGACAAAGTTAGCTACGGCTGGCTGGTGAAGAAAGTCAGACAAATGAAATGCTCAAGTCACAGTTATTTGCATCAGGAGTTGTAGGAGACCAAAATAGAGCTAAACGAAGAGTGAATACTGGACTTACATTTGTAAGATGTAAAAGTCCAATGTGATGATAATGTTGCTGTGTGTCTGTTAGACATTTTTGGCACTTTGTTTGATAATAGGGGGATGTGTTTCTGTCAGCTCTTTATTGTGTTCTTTTCTTTTTCTTCTAGCGGTCAAACATTGATAAATACATTTAGATTCTGAAGGTTATTTTAGTCCATGATGTTGCTGTTGCCTATCAAATCCCTGATAGTTCATAGACTCCTATCGTTAGGCCAGGTATTGCTCATAGGGTTTTTAAGTTAGGCTATATAGTTTATTAGTTTAATTCAGGTTAAAAATAAATCCTTTTCATTATTCTTAAACTCTGCCAGGGCTAACAAAACTTAACCTCATACAATTAGTGTGTAACCATATAAAACAAACGTTTAATTCTGAATTTATTTTTGACTGAATATCAGCTTCCTTCATTTGCTCTGAATAAAAACATAGTGACTTTATTTGAAGCATTACTGACCTAACGCTTGAGTTTTTTCTCTTACTGTAACACCTCAACACTATGTGTGTTTTGTAGTTCTGTTTCTTGTTTGATTGTTTCTCGATTGTTTCTTTCCTACCCAATGTGTTCTCATTACTTTTTCACAATACCACACAAGCACACTAATGTTATGCATTTTCTATATTTAACAACAGTTTTGGCTTGAGGTGTTTCAATAACTCTGGAGGTCAGAGTGTGATTGCAGTCACAGATAATAAAACAACTTTTACACTGTAACAATATTATACAAAATGTGTTTTTGCATTGGCTTTGAAAAAAAAGAGTCAGGCCACTCTTAGATGGCAAAGAAAGTAATTAAATGTGATAAAAATCCTTTCACTCAAAAGAGAAACAAAATCTATAATATTGAGAGAGTGGGCATTACCAGCAAACTTCAACACATTAGAAGTAAATAAAATGTATGTGTTCACGTTTATTTGTTTACTCTTCATTTGAGTTGTATGTACAGTGGCCACATACTGTAACTGGAAACATACTTTCAAGGAAATATGCACTCTAATAGAAGTAATCACACGATATGTCACCATGAAACCATGAATATAAATATACATACACATTTACAAAAGCCGGGCTTTTCAAAAGTGCTGCAGACAGTGTAGAAAACAGGCGGAGATAGAGGATCACACTGCAATCCAGGACTTCACTCTGCAAAGGTATATGTACACAGTTGCTGGAGGTATTTGGTTCGTCTCTTGGACCCCAGACCAGAACGCACTACAACTGGCCTCTAAGTGGAGGGGACCATGCCCTCTATATCGGGTTCTCTGCTTAAGTAGGTCGCCCAGTACACAACGTTGAAGCTACTAAAGAGAACCGGAAACAGAACCCTTGACATCCTGTCTATTTTGCTAACGCTGTTGAATGTCATCTTGCTATCTGGTGCTCTGGGCTTGTTAGGATCCATAGCTCCACCTTTGGCGATAGTTGGAAGTGTGCTGGAGTCCTTGGCGATGTTTGGCGCGTAGTTGGCCACTGCTACAGCGTAGGCATTATTCTTCTTGGCGATAGAAGCCCTCTCTTTTTTCTGTTGAAAGACCACAAGGATTAGATGTGAACGTTTTTAAAGACAGATGCAACCCTGAAACCTGTCACTTGTCACAGTCTATCCATGAATTTAAATGACATGTAAATGAAGCAGCGAAATGGCATTGGATGTCTTCTGGTAATAGATCAACACCAAGGCCAAATATGTCAACAATTTTACAAGGATGCACTGTAACTTTCAACATTTTTTTGCCTTCCATTACTTCCGAGGTTGTTTGAAACTTGGCAGCACAGGTGGACTAATACTGACATGGACTGGACGCAGGGTGAGGTCACATAGGAAGTGATATTTGTAAGAACCTTTTAACTTTGAATGTAATCAGCCCATTTAATGTCCATTGTCAGTGGTAATAGGAATCCTAGATTTGAGGTGGTGTAGCCCTGCTTTACCACCTAGTTGGCTCAGTAGGCTGTTATCATTCCTCAACGTGGAAAGAAAATTGTTAACATGCGTAACTTACTTAAGTTACTTTGACCTGTATAACTAACTGATGTACATATCTGTAGTTATTTAATAAACTAACTTAAATATACCCGAACCACAACCATTTTCTTAACTACAGTGAGTAGTTTTGTTTTCATTCCAAACGATAACCATATGTTTGAACTGTCAATGTTTCAGCACTCCATTGTCCAATCTGAAAGCATTACTTTCTTCAACGTACAGTGGTCACAATGCCAATCGATTCGCTTTGAAAATGTAGCCTGTCAAACAAATAGTTTTTCAATTTGTTACCTTTTCAGTCACAATACTCTTTCCATCCCAAGCCCAGCCGCGCTTTGTGAAGTAATTCACAGTGGCAAACTCGATCAAAGCGGAGAAGACAAAGGCGTAGCAGACGGCGATGAACCAGTCCATGGCAGTGGCGTAGGCAACCTTGGGAAGTGAGTTCCTTGCACTGATACTCAGTGTCGTCATTGTGAGAACAGTGGTTACACCTAGAAATGGAAAAAAGAAAATCAGTCATTAAGAAATGATTGTGTTATATAATACACATACATACATAACACTGTAACCACTGTTTGACCTTTTTAAGAATAAGCATTAGTCTTTACTGTCCTTTGTTCTTAACAGTATAAGGTCACTATTAGCCTACTCTACCCTTGGAGCCACTGACCGTCAGTAATGCTTTAACTGCTCAGCAGGTTTGCTATCTTTGGCCAAAGGACAAGACTTCTCTACCTCTTTTTCTTTCTACAAGCAAACCAGTCTTAGATAACTGTTATTAGTTCCACTTGGCTAACAAACAAGTCTAAAAACATGTGGTCCTGTGAGATTGAAAGGCCCCTGAAGACTCTTTCCTTTTTATTCTGTTTTCTCCTATTCTCCTCTATGTCATCAATTGTTATTACTGTATTCAATTCCCCCATACTGACAACAGGGATTTTGACTAACTAGAGCAAAATCCTCATGCTATCATGTGTGTGAAATCCCACATTAAAAAAACCAATTCCATTCATATATGGATAACTGAACCAGCCCAAAATGTCAGGGGGCTCCCCTGGCCTTCCCATAAAATATGTGACTTAAAAACAACTACCGGCTGGGAGTTTGTTAAAAAAAGAGGCACAAAGAGACTAAATGAATCCCAAAGAGATGCAAAACAGCTAGAGACACCAAAGAAATTCCCAATAACTATGAAAGTGGGCAAAACACAAAAAGACAGAAAATGACTACAAAGACACACAAAATGGTTACAAAGTGACTCACAATTATTACCAAGAGATACAAAACAACTACAAAGAGACACACAACAACTACAAAGAGACACACAACAACTACAAAGAAACACAAAACAACTACAAAGAAACACAAATGACCAGGCAGAGATAATAAATACAAATATTAACAGACAATAAACAGCTACAAAGAGATACAAAAAACACAAAGAGATGTGTAACGACTACAAAGGGACACAAAGATGCCAAACAACTTTAAAGTCTGTGAGTGTTGCTTTTATGTAGGGCAGGTGATGGGGTCTTTTCATGTGTCAGCCCAGGGCTCTATTGTCTGGTAACCCACCCATGATTACGTTAATGACAGGTAAAGCCAGAGGTTTATTGCCCATTTAAAATATATCTTTGAATGAAAGATGGTATGGCCGTTGACAAAGGCAGACGCTTACCAAACACAGTCCTGGCTGGCACTGATTCTCTATTCAACCAGAAAGACACTTGGGAAAGGATGACTGTCATGATGCACGGGAGGTACGTCTGGATAACAAAGTAACCAATCTTCCTCTTCAGATGGAAATGAGCCGTCATCACAGTGTATTCACCTGCGGAGAAAATAATCACAGTCACTTTAAAGCACCACCATTTCATATTATTCTAATAACATTTCAAATGTGATGTTTGAGTCATTTAATAATTTAAATTATTATTTTAATATGTAAAGTAATATCTGCGTAGTTGACTTAAATGTCAGTTGAATGCTTGTAAATATTTAATATAAAGCTGTTGGTCTGCATTTCCTCATCCAGAGGAGATTTATTTTTGTTAAACTCTTACATGCACTCTGGGGTGTCCTTTTAAAAGTCTCTTAAAACACAAGGTCAACATTAACATAACTTTCTATTAGTGATGACGTCTCCATTGGCCAAGCTTGATGTCTCTTGCGTCAGAGTCGGTTTCTTTTTTTCTGTAACCTTTACAGAAAAAAAGTTATCTTTTTCAACTCCTATACAGTACATGAAACATTGTTCCATGTTCTCTGTTACTCCCCAAGCCCCCATAATCATCGGAGATGATTTTACCAGTAAGATGTAACTATTCCAGTGCAGCCACACAACTCCATAGTGCTTCAAACTTCTGTAATTTATTTTAGGAGAACATTATATGTAGATGTGAAGCTTTATGAGAATGCTTGTTTAAGATGCCAAAGCAGTCGTATACGTAGATTAAACAGCCTATTTCAGCTGTTTACAGTTCATATTTGATCAAATAATCCATCCATACATCGAACAGTAGCACCGCAAAGCCTCCTATCTGACAAGGCAGTACCAACGCTGCAGCAGCAGGCAGGCCTTCCAAATGGAAGATATCTCAAAGAGACGCCAAGATTAGACATGAGAAGAAAAAGATGTGTTACCCATGGCAACAGAACAGAGACACATAGCTCATTTGCTACGATCCTGAAATGAAGGCCTTGATACACGCTGCCACTTGGCAAGAGGAAAGTCCTTTTCAGCAGAGGGTAGGGGGGAGGGGTTGTCAATTCCAAGGTTTCTAGCAGTTCTCTCAGGACTAATTCTCTCTCTTTAAACATAAACACACACACTGACACACACACACACACACTCACACACACACACACACACACACACACACACACACACACACACACACACACACACACACACACACACACACAGGAATTTTGTGGAATTGAGTGCACTCTCAGTACCCTATGGAGCTCTATATCTTCTGTAATTTAATTTGCATGCCAGCCTGTGTCGTGGATGGGGGAGGAGGAGGATTTACAATAATGGAAGGTGGCTGCATGTTCTCTAGATGAGCCTCTGATCGCTTCATTGAGAGGTAAGATGTAGTAACTGAGGTGTAACCAATTGGTTGGTCCGCATCTGTTATGATGCCCTGAGTTTGGCATTTTGATAGGTTGGTTGGTTTTTGGCCTTCACAATCTTAGTTTATTTAAACCAGAAGTATCCATATTTTGAGTACGGGTGAAGGTGAATACAATCAAACACTTAAAAATGCATTTTAGGCCAATCTTTTGTAGAAATGGGCACACACTGTATGAGGGTTCAAGTTCAATGACGAAACACCCAGACCGTACAACTTTCTGTCATTCACAAGGTAGCCAAATCCTAAAGCATACCCTGCTTTATGTATTTTTTTTTTATAAAGGACCAACTTAATAACTGATGTTCATGCTGTATTGAAAACAACTTTAGACTATTGAGGGTCAGTAAAATATAACTGATTTGTTCATAAACTTTTATACAATCTGACTTCTTTTTGCAACCAGTGTAGTCGCCCCCTGCTGGCCTTCAGAAAAATATTTGGTTTAAAGGTCTCCTATTATACTATTTTTAGGCATATATTATAGGTTTCAGATATATCAAAAACAGGTCTATGAAGGGTTTTGCTCAAAATACCAAGCAGATCAAGCATTGAAGCATGCCTCATACCCCTCTATTTCAGCCCTGTTACAAATGTGCTGATTCTGGGTCCGTAGCTTCAAATGTAACCTGAGCTGCTGCTGGCCATGCCCCTTTCCGCATGCAAGCAGTGAGCTCTCAGAGAAGAGTGTCTTCCAGCAGAAACTCAGCTAAACGCTGCCGTGATTAAATGCCATATTATGTTCCAAACCACTTCAAGGATTATTTCTGAAACAGTATGCAGCTCAAACGCTTTCTCTCTCGCGGGTTTACCACAAGGTGAGTACCTTTTTATATCCGTTTTTTTTACACATACTCTCTCCAGTACAGCGTTAGCTCTGAGTGTTAGTGATGCTTGCTAATGTAAACACAGACCGTATAACTTCCAAAACACGTCGCTTATTGTTTCTGATAGAGTGCAATTCTGATAGGGGAGGATAGGGCCTTGGGCGGAACGTTGCCAGGGGTGTTTCTCAATGTCGAGGAAGGCTCCTCCAGAGCCACTATTTCAAGGATGCTACGTCATCGAGTCCCGCCAAAGGACTGTTCTAATGTCCAGGATCCTTGGAATTTTACCGAGGCCGGCGTCCTTCGTTGCGGAAAATTTCGAGGCCGCACATGTGTATCCTCCACGGTCTTAAAATCCCCACAATGCTTTGCGCACTAACCAATTTCCAAAATCTTTGGCGGAAATTGCGCTCCATTTAAGGCGGGGCCTCGCATATGACACACACCTGCACACCTGTTAGCCTGTTCCACCATTCTTCATTTTCCGAGGCTAGGAAAGATTCTTGCCTCGCTTCTGAAGGACCTGACTCGGAAGACATGTCCTACCAAGGAAGCGTCCTCGACATTGAGAAACACCCCAGGAGTTCAACGTAAATCCAGCCCACATTTTAGTAATGTCGTCATGACCGCAGAAAATCTGGATCAGCTCCGTTGTACACACGCTTTTAGAGATGTGGGTAAGGAGGAAAAGAGAGAGGGTTGTATTTTCTGACACTTTGTGAGTCTCCTAACACACCATCAAAAAGTACATTTTGCATAATAGGTGACCTTTAAGACACTTCTAACATAAACAACCAATGTTTATTATTTGTATTTGCCTTTTTTGGAAAAGCTACTGTAGATTAAAGGGACACTCGAACAGTTTTGTAGTTCCATCCACTTACGTGATGCTGATTCAGCAGAAGCTGAGATATCCTGACTTTTAGTCCCTGGTTTAGGTTAAAAAAAAACTGGATCCTACACTAACCATAATACAACTCTATGGCGCCTCCCGTAATAAGTTCCCTGACTGTGAAAAACAACACGCTCAATGCACCCATTTTGTAACTAAGCCATGCTGAGGTTACTTGATGACATCATGGGTATCATTTTTACCATTGTCCCTTTGTGTTATCTGTTGTTTTATATTCACGTTGTAACATACTTGCTGCCATGTTGGACAGGTCTCCATTGAAAAAGAAATCGATGATCTCAATGGGACCACCTGGTTAAATAAAAGTTTAATAAAATAATAATACAATTTATAAGAAACTGGTGGAATACCCCCTTAAAAAAACAAAAGTCAAAGCTGCATTGAATAAATGTTTGGCCACTAGAGGGCACTATCATAAAATAGAACTATATTAACCTGACGCTCCAGACGGTTTGTTACACAGAACCATCTGAGAAGCCGTCATTGGAAACTGTTTGAATAAGGGCAGGCACTTTCAAAAAATACTTGGCAGGTGATTAGATCAACCATCTGTCAATCAAACTCTTGCCAAGGCCAGTAGGTTGAAGAGCGAAAATATTGCTCTGAACCTTCTTACAAGAGGGATTTACGTGTGAACTTGTGATATCGCGAAAATCCAGCAGCTGTCCATGGAAACAGATAAATGAAAAATTCCTATCCAAGCAGACAAAGTCAATAAACACAATTACATTACTGCAGGAACACCATATATAATTCAATGTGTGAAGTAAGACATCACTACATTCATTTCTGTTCAATCATGAGGTTTTTGTTTATAATGTATGCAGTAACACAATAATGTGTTAAAAAGCATACAAACAAGTGAGTTCATGGCAACTACAACAGTAAGTGCTTTAAGGTAACAAGTTGAACATGATTATGTGACACATGGATGTATGGCTGAAAATGGGACTTTCGTAACTGGGTGTTGAAATGTTCGGAGGCTTATGCAAGATGTCCGTTCTCGAAGCCTGAGAGCACATTCGTTCGTGCCAAATGACCTAGTTTGCAAGTACGCTACACCAAACACTGACACACTAGTAATGAATGATTAATTTAAAGTCAGCCAATCAGATGTGGAGTGACTAGTTAAACAGCAGAAACAGTCACTGGCAGGCATTCTGCCTTCTACCGAGGCATCACACACCACTTAACCTAGATAGGAGCATTTAGTGCATGAAAGGATAGTCTTACTCAATGAAACGGTAGCAGGGATTCCCTTGATAGTAGAATGCAGTCACAGGGGAAACACTATACCGGTAATTTATACCTATAGGCAGAAAGTAGTGTTGGACCGTATGGCACAGGGATGCAGTTATTAAAGTCTCTTTTTCTGTGATCGATGCATAATCAGGATAAAGATCCTATACCTTAGGGATTCTGCATGCTTCTATTGTGATAACAAAAAAAGTTCCAAGAGTGAAAATAGGATCCCCTTCTGAGTAAGAAGACTCGCTGTACATGCTCGGACGCATAAAGAAGATGTGTATCTCAACAGAGATGCTTTGCAAACCATCCCCTCCTCCTTTGACTTTGCCGCTAAAGACTGGAGGCCTTAACCCTGTGGTCAACATTTTCCACCAGCAACAAACTTCTCAAACTCTTCCAACTAACTCATTCTTTACTTTCTCTTAAATCATGATACTCATTTACATTTCTACCACTTGGTTGACTCTTGGATGAGTGACCATTTGTCTAAAGGTGGGATCATTGGAGGAGTTTATTGGAGCTTTCTGCAATGTAGTCCCAAGACAAGGTTGTAAAGCCCTGAATTAAGACCCAAGGCATGTCCCAAGTCCAACATCTTGAGTCCAAAACAAGTGTGTGTCTTAGTTCGTTTAGTTTTTTGTTGACCGCCGAGTGGTTTATGTTGGCGAATGACATTATCTTTGGTAAATATGTTTTTTCAACCGGCGCTCAGTAACAACATTTTAACAAAAAGTTTAAATTGATTAGATCGATTGTCAGATAGATTCAAACTACTTAAGTCAGTATTTGCTGGGTATGAAAAATTGATTTATGGCCAACTTATCTTTGGGCTTTGGGGGGAAGCTACTAGGGCTGTGCGATTATGGCAAAAATCATAATCACGATTATTTTGGTCAATAATTGATATCACGATTATTAAATACGATTATTCATTGACTTTGGAAACATCCATTTATTGAACTTTAAAACAAATACAAATAATAATTTGAACAGTATCTTTTTAACTGTTGATTACCCTGAACGTATAATTCAACTGAAAAACCAATACAAAAATAAATAAAATAAATGATACATTTATATTTACATTTAAATAAATAATATCAAAATAATAAATACCAATAAACAAGATCAACAAATATTTTGGAGCGCACTTCAACAAGCTTCTAAACATATGTAAATATGATAAATACAAATAAATTAGATAAAATATGTTGCAGTGCACTGTCACAACCTAGCAAAGCAAAATAATCGTTTTTTTCGATTATGTTGTTTTCGTAATTGTGGCAGGCCAAAATCGTAATTGCGATTAAAATACGATTAATTGCACAGCCCTAGAAGCTACCAAGTATTTTCAATTGAAAAGGCACAAGTGAAACTGAAGTCTTGAGTTATTGGTCTTTAAGTCCAACTTGAGTTGCAAGCCTTTTGTGATTAAGTCAAACGTCATCAAATGTGTGGCTTCAGTCTGACTGTAGTCAAAGTCATGTGACTCCAGTCCACACCTCTGCCATTTTCCAAAGCAGATTTGAAGTTTCTGCTCTTATTTACCACAAACTGACAAAACTGTCTGTATTAGAAGTAGGATAAAACACATTCAGCAATCCAAAAAGATACCCCGCTTTTAAAATATGTTGTCCAGTAATGTTTGCATACACCAGGGATTACAACACTAGTCTCCTGGTAATTATAGCACGCCCACACATTTCTCACCATTATTATGATCAACGCTATCATGGTCCTGCAGGAACTGTTTTGTTTTTCAAAAGCTTCTCTCATCATGTTTTCTTAAGTAGTATTGCTAAAATTAGATCAGTGCTGTCGCTCAGTGACAGAGAATCGTGCATGCTTTTCAGATCTTCTCATCACCTTCACCCACCCATCAAAACCTGTTTTAAAGGATTTTTGGTCATGATTCTCAAGGAATCCATCTACCACCATTTACTTTGAGAAACATTTCTGGAATAAACTGGTTTTAAGGCTCATCAAGGCCTTGCTCTCTGTATAACAAACCAGTGGTGACCTGGCCCTTCCCTTTATGAGGAGCCTGGTTAGATTGGCAGACTAATATCATTCTAATTTGGCTCTAAATTCTCCTAATGACACCGTTTCACAGGTTGCACGTGTCGGCTGAATGCAAATGGCCACCCTGTGGACTTGGGGACCGGGAGGGTGTCAGGCTATAAAATCCGCTGATAGACAGTTTCATCCGTTGCCGTGGGAACATTCTACAATCATGTAGACGCTGAACCTTGCAGCACTTGTCTTGCTGGCTATTTCTCTTTTTATAGGGTATAGAGTGCTAGTATTTCAGATCAGATTCAAGTAATGCTTTAATACAGTATTACACATTTGTTTGTTTTGTTTGTTAAGTTGGAAATCTCATAAAGTGAAGTCTGTATTGCAATGAATTGTGCGTAATAAAATCAGTACAATCCGAGGTTCTTCATGTGCGGTGAAGTCAGGAGATTTCTACTTAGCCACTACAAGTCGTGAGCAGCCCTATGGAGGAATTCCCCCCTTCAAACGATACAGATGCGAGGCTTGATGAGCATCATAAGGCCCCTTTAACATGTGTTTAGCTGTGGCCTTGTGATGAAGAATAACATTGCAAATTAGGTAATTCTAACATGACCTAGCCAGGCGTCATTTTCTGTAATCACATGTCGCTGCACAGTTCTGGCACCTATTCAGAGAGCCTCACTTTCACATCCACATCCAGTGTGCATGCTGACGTGTTCCTGCTGCTGTTACTGCTGCTCCACTCAGCCTCCACCTGCTTTGGTTCTGCTCTGCTTGTGCGCAGCCCTGAGGGCGTTTATTTCTAAGTTAATAACCACTGGGGGATTATTTGCACTGGTCCCTGCATGTTATTTATCAATGTGCTAAGTATTTCATTCTGCTGCAACGTATTGCCACAGCAGGGAGCCTTTCTGACAGGAGCACCATGTTGCAGCATTTCCATTTTATGACAGAATGAAGCTTGAAACATGGAACCTGAACAGTGCAAGGTTGCAGTAAAGATCTGACATATTAGACAACCGTTTTATATTTTTATCACATGATTGTAAGACATATCTTTGATCCAGACTAGTTGTTCCAATCTGTTACATTTGTATCATTTATTTTTCTTTACCTGCATACAGAAAACCACATACCACATGTCTTTGCCGTTTGGCCTAACTCTCTTTCCGGTGGCTCCAACAATGCATGCACGTACTGTATGTACAAACTCTTATCTCCAATTAACAATGCATTACACAGCCTTCATCTGTGATTTGCTTACTGCCATCATATAATCTCCCGTCACTGGGTGTCACATCCCTTGTCACTCCCAGCATGTAAAGGCAAACAGCTGCCAACCACCTCTAATCCCTAGGGAAGAAGCCTCAAGTCTGGACTCAAAGCCAATTCATTTAACACAATTTCTTTTATTTCATCGTTCAAGCTATTTCCCCTCAATGTCTACTCTCTGGACAGCAATGGTGTCCATCTCACCCTCACACACACAGCCACACGTTAAGACTTGTGTATGCACACTCCAGTTCTTGCCCCCTTTCTTGGCATTGATATGTTTGCATGAAATCTGTTAGTCCTATTTTTAGCCCTCATTATTTATTTCTTCTACACTATAGCCTGTTTGATGTATTTGTGTCCATTGTTTTGTGTTTTCACTTAAAACAATGTCCTTGTTGAATTATAAATGTTAAATGAGACATCTGATTGTCTAGGATAGAGCGTATTTCTATTTTTGTTCAGGCCCCTGACAGAGCCAATAATTATTCAAGACAACGTCGGGTGGATTCCTTGACTACTGTATTTCTCAAAGCTTTTAAGAGGTGTTTTTTACACAATTTCCCCTTAAATCTGTAAAAAGAACACTTGAAGGAAGAGGTTTTGACCATTTAAATCTGGGAATGCATACTCTGACTGTTTACATTTAAGAAGAAAAAATCCCTGTTTACTCGGTTCCTTACATTTTTGCTTTTGTATTTTGTAAGCAAATAAATTAAAGGCCTAAAAACATTTCTTACTCCTTTTTGATATACTGCATTTTTCTTCAAGTCCATGTTTTATAGCTCCAGACCTCACCAGAGTTAATTACCCCGTCCACTAACGAGCTTGTCGCTGTTGGATTCACTCGCTAATGTCTCCTGCAGGTCCATTTGAGTGAAATGCCACATTTTCAATGCACATCGACTCATTCACTTCCCGGGCTCCAGAACATAGATTTTCTTTGTCATTTCAAGCATCACTGCACTTTTGTGAGACATTTCTGTGTCTTTGGGCACCGACTGACGTAAGACACTTAAATCACAGAAGAACCTAGCAGCTTCACTTTTCTCCTGGAGCTCCTCTCTTAGTGTCTCTGACAGCTACAACAGGCAGCTGCGCTCCCTTATGTCTAATTTTGTATCAGCATCTGTCGTCTAGTTCTTTATTTATCATCCATTTGAAATCCATCCAGAGAAACTGCACTGCATTTAAAGGTCTGCCACTGTTTGTTCTCCAAAGTGGGGGTTATAAAGTGTAACAGGATTGTCCCAGCAGCAGCAGCAGCAGCAGCTCACCTGTCAGGTCTCCAGGCCAAACTAAATTAAGATTTACAAAATACAGAACAACGTAGGGAATTCAAACCTGCAAAATCCCATTGTTTAAATGTGTGTCATGCATTGAGAGCCAAATCAAATGTTTCCCTGCGTTTTTCAAGCCAAATAAAGTGGGTGACAAAAAACAAAACGTTATAAGCGTTTCACAGCAAGCTAGACTGACATGTAAGAGGTGGAAAAGTTTTACATCCACCCAATCAAACACACATTTCTCAAAGATTGAATTTCACAGTCAAACTTTTTGTAACTGAGATAATAAAGAAGCAGCTCAAAGCTATACATGTCATCACAGTTTTAAGCTAAGTGTTGTTAGCACAATTTGCTAAAGGGTGTTAAGCTATTAAATATCTCGTTTACACACTTTTATAAGGCTGCTATTAATTCCTATTTTATATTTGTTTACTAGGGATGCACACTTATTTGATTTTTATTAAAGGGGTTCAATTTTGCTCATTTTCAGGTTCATGCACCTCTTTTCACCTGAACCAGAAACCAAAACCAGAGCCTAGTCTCAGATTGGTCAACCGCCTGTCCCTTCCCTTAGCCTACCATGTAAAATGTGTTGGTGCGCTAGCCAATAGAAGCCCAAGTGTTACATGGTGATGTCACTATGTCAGGGAAGTAAACAAAAGAGCTCAATGGAGGCGTTTTCGGCGGGGGGGAGAAACTCCCTTTGGGATTTTAGCCTTTGCCGACCATTTACACCCAAAAAAACTGTTATTACACACAACAGGAAAGGGAAAAAACATAAATCATAATAGGGCCCTTTAAACGTGGACTTGCCTTTGTATTTTTCATGTTAAGCTGACATTTGCCTTATATCTGCACTGTCCCTTTACTGTAACTATGTTCATTTCACACTGTGGTTTGAATTTCTTGAATGCCATCTGGCAACTATGTAGTAACCTGGACTGTTTTAGTAATGTGGCTACATAATTTAAGCATTTTTAAATACCAAATCCAGGGTTTCTTTGTTTTTCTATAGCTTGAGGAGCATTTACTGCAGAGGATGGAGGCATTGAGATGGATTGTATCATTCCCTGTAGACTTTTACGACTGAGACCTCCATAATAGCTTACCTGTGCTCGATTTGATAGTCTCTTGACCGACCGTTTGTCCAAGCAGGTCGTACTGGTTAAGGCGGGAGCTTTCTCCTTCCACCACGACAGAGTCGGAGGCATTTAGAGTCCAAGCATAAGTCACTTCTGAGATTGTGTAGGCATCTAAAAAAAGAGAAGAGGGATAAACCCATAGGGGATAAATGTGGGGCAGCTGCAGCTATCGATGATTTTACGAGAAAATATTTCACTGACCCAAATGAAAAGCCCCCACTACATTGTGTTTGAAGCTGTGTTTCTAGAAAATAAGGGATACTGTAGGGAGAAAAAAAATCTCTCTGTGGCTGAAGATGGAATTCATACAATGCCAACAAGCAATTGATGCTCAGTGGCATTTGGCCTTTTCAATCAGTCGCACAGCGTACACTGAATATGGAATTTGAAAGCTTGCAGCTAACCTATGAATATCTGATGAAACAGAAAAACAGATTTTTTTCCCCCTTCTATATACATTATTGAAATATTCTGCCAATCATGTCATGCTTCAGGTTGTGGTGTTGTACAGAAAATAGGACATAATGCGTTTATACTTTTACAATTCCTTGTTTCTAGATCAATATTTTGAAAGCAGCTTAAAGCAAAAATCCTCACCCAAATTTAAAGAGGCCATGGAAATGAAATATACATAAAAAAAACAGGTATAAATTGGAAAAAATAAAGTATTTGGATGAGATTTGTACCCATATTCTCCCAGTGACATTCCCACTCAGTCCTTTATCTGGCAGTTATCTTTATGTATCTTTTTAATTGCTGCATATTGAGTGAAAATGTGAAGGGTTAATGCCGGAAAAGTGAGCCATGCAATCCAGCTTCACTCGGTTCTTAGGCTGCTGTCTTTCTAAAGAACCAGTGAGCAGAAAAAGAAGAAAAAAAAGCAAATAGCATTTTACTTAAGGTCCCTCAGGCGCTATCATCATCAGAGGTACTCACAGCTGCCAAATTTTAGTGGACAGGAATGAAAGTCCATGGGGAAATCCTCCAGATGCATTGGGCACTCTGCATGCACAGTTAACCTGCATCCAATTCACAGAAAATTAAAGAGACTTTCCAAATGCATGAAAAGTAAACAGTACAGATTAGGCACGGTCTCGAATAAAAAAAAAACTCATATGCCTCATGCACTATTCAAGACACTTCCCATCTGTAACGCCGTGGAATCAAAATAATTCATCTTGACTGTAAACAGCAGAGCAAAGTAAACAAGGTGCTGCAGCAGAAATCAAATAAACAAACGTGTGTCGACGTGACGTTAGCTTGGATAAGAAATTCAATCATCGTGAAAATAACTTGCAATAGATTTTCATTCATATTGATTTTCATGAAAAAGGCATGTTGACAACAAATATAGCATCAGTGGCATACAAATGGAAGCATGAAGAATACATTTGAACATTGATTCTGCATTGCTTGGATAAAGCTAGCACATGCTAAGAACAGTAGGTAGGTCTGTCAAAGTGAAAGAGTGTTTGCTGAGAGGATGGAGACCACTTTCATGTCTGTACACTCAATATGCACCCTCTTCAAATGTTTCATTATTCGTTTTAATCCAATGAATAGATGGTACAGTGGCCCTTATTTAAAAATGTATTAGCAGATTATACCAAATTAAGTTAATTTCAGGTAACAATGTATTACATGAATAAAAAATAACTAACTTTTAAGCTATTTGGTTTAACAAAACATAAGATGTTAAGGTGGACATTATTGTGACCTGTATATGTACTTTAAGATATTCATAGTTTCTTTTCATTTGTGCTATTGTGTTTTAGCCTCTGCGGGTGACTTTGTTTGATTCCTACCTTGAGACTTGCATTTATTTAAATAGTTTTTGTATGTTTTAGAGAGGGTTCATCATGAAGTCTGTAGTTATTTCACAGTGGTATTTCAGGTCTTTGAACGGGGCTAATGTGATGTGATTGGATAACTCACGGGAGGGCTACTATATTCATAAACTATTATTCTTGCCCTCTTGCTTTTACTAATGTTGTTTTATATAGCAACCTTAGTCACATACTTAGCCTACTTAAACAATGTGTTAAGTAATGCACGTACTCCCGGGAAGGAGTCTGATAATGGCCTTTAACGGGCTGATAACATTCAAAGTTTGTTAAACGAATATTAAGCTACAGCTCATAGCCTGTTAGCAAAGCACAAAAAAAGTTGGGGAAAATCTTGCTATGTCCAAATATTACAAAATCAGCCGTTAACGTTTATTAATTTAAGTACAAACTAACTTTTGGTGATACAGGGTGAAATGTCCCAGACCTTTAGGCTAAAGAACTGCTGGCTGTAGTTTATATTAAGCGTAAATACATTGCAGTGGTGTAAGTTTCCTCAAGGCAAGAAGGCTTATAAGAATATCACCTACTAGTCGAGAAATACCTTTAAAACACATATACAACCATGTGGCTTTTTCTTTGGACATGCTCCTTGAATTACCTCATGGTGTACAGCAGGGTCCCATCATCTTTGATCCTCAGCAGTTTATTGGGCATGGTCATGTTATGAGCCACAGACTTCTTCCCGTTGTGGAAGAAGGTGTCCGGAGTCCAGATTTTACTGGCCATCAGGTTGTTGAGCGGCAGTATATTCATCGGTCCGCTAAATTTCAACCTCTCGTCCTTCCAGCTTTGCCTGAAAAAGACATCGATGGTGTACTCCTGTAGGGAATAAATGAGTAAATAATCATTTTGATGCTGTAACTTTCCATCAAGTACTTTCTGCTTAAGAAATGCTGACTACACCTGCCACTTTAAAACTCAGGCGCTGAATGGCTCTCCCTATTTGTCAAAGCTCCATCAAGGTGAGGCCCGTGTCTCTGTGTTCCCCTCAGCTTTTCTAAGCGGGTGTTTTCTAAGCTTGCTCTGAGGCCGAGACAACCCCTTGACCTACAATCCTCTGTTGTCAAAAAAAAAACACACACAAGAGAGGATTTAGGGCAGAAAGCGCTGCACTGTGAAATGTGTGTTCGTGTGAGAGCCAATGTGTGTGTCTGTGCGATTTGAGCGCACAGCGAGCAAAGACTGAGTGGGAGATAAATTCCTCCAGAGTGTATTTTTCTGGTCACAGTTGAAAGGGCCTCTGACATTTAGATCAACTGAAACCAAAACGTAATACTTTATTTTGGCGGGTCTACACAATAAATTACAGTAAAGGTTTATTCAAATGTTTGTCTTCTTTTTGTCGTAATGGACAGCTTTAGTATTAGTCATCATAACATTCTACACTCTTAAAGTACTTGGGATATGGTAACACGAAAAGTCAGCTGTCCGTCAATCAGACAAGTTGAAAACAAGCTAACTGTGTAGCAAAAATAATTTAAAGCCAATTTTTGAGAAGTTAAATGAATTCCCCTCAGTCACTAATAATCATTGCACAAGTAAACACAGCAAAATGGAAGCAGGAAGTTGTTTTTAAAGCTCGATAGTTGTTTAAAACAACTTGTTTGTGTCACTTGAGATCAATGAAGGTTGGACCCAAATGCAGGACGTTCACGATCTTACTAAATAATACAAGGCAGGGCAAGGCTAAACAAACAGATCAATACTCTGTGATGCACAGCAAACAGGGATCCAACAAACAATGACAGAAAGACAGAACTGAAATACATGCAGGACTAATCACCAGGGGCCTCATTTATAACGCCTTGCGTAGGATTGACGTGAGAAGGTTGCTTACGTAGTACAAAGCAAAAAAATAGGTACAGAAATTTTCCGACATTTTCCGATTCACAAAACATTGCGTACCGGTGAGGGAAGTGCGTACGGCACTTCCTACGCCTGTTTCCCTTTATAAATCACAATCGACTCATAACGCCCATATTTGCCTATAAATAGTCAAAGAAACGCCCATTCATTCATTCATTTTTGACTGACTGCATGAAGAAGATCGCAGGAAATGACGACCGAACAGCTAAAAAAGACATCTCACACCGTGTCAGATTTTGGTTATTTTGGGGAGGTGGAGATAAATCATATTGTTTGGTGGATGCAGTTTGAACCAGAGTAGCAGCATGGAGGTCGGATCGTCACCAAAATAAATAAATAAGTGGTCCGAAAAAAGTTAATGACAAAAAAAATACACATAACCTTCCTCAGGCAGTGTGTTGTACCGGGGACAGGAGACACCCCCTTGATGAGAAACTGTAAGAAATGATCGGGGAATCCCTCCGGAGTGGAGTCATGACGACTGGATCTGAATTATTTTGTTGTATTTGGTGGTTTGTGTTCCAGCTGTCGATCAGCAACTATATATCCATAATCCACCAGTTAAAGGAAATACAACTAATGTGTTGTGTTATATTAGCTGTACAATTTACCGCATATGGTGTTCTTAGTTTCCATACCTCCTGTGTTTTACGAGCGACTTATCAAGTCTTGGCAAACGGCATAAAACACGATTAAACGTGATAGTATATAAAACCATGCTCGTATCTACAACCTATAGAAATGCAAAACGGCGTCAGTTTAGACGTTATTCTGTCCTCCTGCTTACCGCATCATTTATGAGAAAACATTTCATAACATTAACACAACATATTCGAGGTGGTTTTAAATAACATATCCGTATTTATTTATTTCCCCAAGTTATGTTTTTGTGTGCACTGAGGAGTCTCAAACAGGCGTTTGTTTAATCATTTTAAGATTGGCTTTAATCAATGTTTGAAAATGAATTCTTCATATTTGATAAATGAGAGGTAACATTTTATTTATTTCCACATATTTCTCTCCATTCTTCCTTCTGCCAACGGTGTCGCAGTTTCTCGTCTCTCCCGTTGTTGTGCTTAGTGCGTACGCATGGGTTACAGTTTGCGTGGAGGACCGCACATTTTCCCGTCAAGTTAGTATTTTATAAATCGCAAACATTGCGTAGAAACTGGCGTACGCCATTTTTTGAGCGTATATCCCTTTATAAATGAGGCCCCAGGACAAGACACAGCTTGGGAAGGCAGAAAAAACAAAGGGGCATCAGGTGAACACAATCAGGTAATCAAACATGAGGGGTAAAGCACAAACAGGAAGTACAAACAGACATAATACAGCAGGGTTGCCAACTCTCACGCATCTGGCGTGTGACACACGCTTTCACTCTCAATCTCACGCTCTCACGCTGCCCAAACTATTCTCACGCCAAAAATAAGAATACGAAGACTAGAAACGGTTTTGAAAACTTTTGTCACGTAGTGATCGTCTTCTCAATAGAACATCTTTGATAATGTCTTCTGGCCAATCAGAATCACGATAACGGCGTGGTGTTGTTGCAGGAAGTCCCGACGGAGAATACTTTTGCGGTAGTACATCTCTATATACATCGATACAACATTACGTGTTGATAGAAATCAACACGTAATGAAATAAGACCCCACGGTTTGATGATTGATAGGTGTGTGGGCTGTCTTTCATTTTGACACACAGAACAATGGGGGCTATCCACCCTTATCCACAATGTAAAGTAATTCACACAGCCTCTTCTGTGAGGAGCAGCAGGTTCAGCTTTCAGAACAAAGTAACACAAAACTAATATGGCATTCATTTTTTTAAATGTGTAGTAATAGATTTATTTATTTTTCTTCTCAAGAGAGTACCAGAATGTGTATTTTATGTTAGTATTTAAAAAATTCTCCTGGGGGAGAATCCCCCCAGACCCCCCTGCAGGGGTTGGGTCTTCAGCATGTCAACTCTTTCACTTGTGGGGAAATTGCAGGATTGGCTCCAGGTCGCCCTTTTTATTTCCTACAAGACAAATGTGCCTTTTTATTTCATACATTTCAATTGGGATTGAGACAGGGAAATAATCTAAACCTCACGTGTGGCGTTTCACTGTCGGGGGGATGTATGTATGTAATTACATTGCAAATACTGACTTGAGCCCCACCACAAGGGTTAGCCCTACCATAGATTACCCAACAAAAATACTCTGAAGCGCATGCGCAGATCTAAGATCCAGTAGAAATGATAAAAAAGTAAAAGTCTGCTGCTTATTGTTCTACTAGGCCAAAATAGAGTCAAAGAGTATATGAGAGTGAGAGTGTGTTAATTAATATATTTGGCAGTTTGGAGTAAGTCTGTAGATTTGTTTGTGTGTGTGTGTTTCATGTATAGGCCTCTCACGATAATTAATTTTGTTGGATACATTTTCCCGGAAATTATTGCGATAAGCGATAATATTGTCGGCACCGTTGTATGACCATTTTAGACCACTGACATAATGATAATATATAATAATTATTCAAGTACATCCTTTCAAACTGCTTGTCACATCCTCATGTAAATGGCAATTTATCGAGGTCAGAAAAGTTATCGAGTTCATTTTTATTTATCGTACGATAAGTCAATTAATTGCTTATCGCGACAGGCACACAATAAAACAGTGGAAACAAACATGTTTGACTTTCATTAGTGAATGAAACTGTGTGTATAGTCTGTGTCCATTATTGTGTATTTGTATATATTGTATATATATCCTATATGCTAAGGTCCCGCTGCTGACACGATAGCAGTCATTTCGTGCGCATATGTGTAATTAAACCGAATTAAACCCATGATATGAAAATCTCACTCCAGCCAGGTACCCAAAGTTGGCAACCCTGTAATACAGTGTATGAAGGATTTTCAAAATAAAAAAGGAAACAAACAGTTCATGACATTTTTTAAAAAATGTACAGTTGCTTTTGCATTTGACATCCTCCTCACAAGTATTAACCTCTAATTTGCTCCAGAAATGGCTCAGATTAGCCACACTACTGCACTACAACATGTCCCTTTGATATGGTGAACATCGGCTCTTGTTTATCTTGAGTCGTCCAACATAAAACATCATGCTGCCATTACACTCACTGGCCAAGTTTGTATAAATCCGCGTCTGGAGATAGTCCCCAAAACAAATGCACAATTTCCACCATTTGAGTCATATTTGATAACTGTTATAGAAACTGAGCCTTTCAAAAATAATTTAAATACAGCCTGTTTTTATAGATGCAGGTCTTAGGGCTTGGTGCAGGAAACTAGAACACTTTCAAGATCTGTTTTCTTTCATGTGGCTGGTTGACAATAAAAAAACGTCTCTTGACTTACTGTAGCCGATAAAACCTGTCTGATCGCTTCACTGCTTGTGACTCCTGCCCTTTCCGACGTGTAATCAAATTGATTTATGCTTAAATGCACGGTCACTACACAGACCACACCTAGTACGTTCTGCTGCATAAATCTGCATAAAGACAATAGATCTTTTTTGATTTGCTTAGTTACCTTTGGCCTCTTTGTTTAGCTAATGCTCTTTTGAAGCTAATGCACGATGTGTTCTTCTTTTACTTGTTTCACGTTTAAGCTTTGGCTGTCAGTCGTCCTCCTATAAATCTGTTGAGGCCACCGCAGCAATCAGATGAATGGCTTTACAGTATTTGAATAAATCAATCAGGTCAAAGGAGAATATATTTCAGGCTGTGCAACATCAAAAACTGCAATAAATCATATGTAATCAGCCTTGTGCCTTATTTTTGCTTTACCTAATGTAATAAAACTAATTCTATACTTTTCTCAAAACATGAAATAAGAGGCATTATCCCATAGATATTTGTTCTTATTCTGTCATATTAGTAACTTGCTCACCGCCAGTAATATTGAAGGATGTTTTCACCTTGTCAGCTCTGTCCATCTGCTTGTTTTCAAGATGTTTTGAAGGAACCATTTGGCTGAAATGTAGCGTAGGGATCACCCTCGGGTAGGTGGTGACCTGGGATTTCCTCGAAGAGATCATTTGAATGTCTAAGTCTTAACGTTTTCATATTTTGTATATTTGATCTGGTCCACAGAAGTGCTGTTTCATGTTTAACTGAGTGCCCTCTAGTTTACATATCTCTCAGAGGCCACTGCATTGAACTCAAACATCATAACTGCTAAATCAATAGATCAATCACTTGGGAAATGGGTCTTCAACAACAGAAGGGACGCTGATGATATGATGTGAGGGATGGGCGCATGTCAGTATGATAAACAGGAAAGCCCAGGATAAATAAAAAGGAGTGACTGGAATAACAAGAGGACTTTCAATAATGTATAAGGAGACAATCATCAGATGAAAAGACGTGGTGCTGTGGTGTGGAGAACTCGAACATTATGAAATGAGGGAAAGCCGTGATGATACTAAAAACACAGCAGAAGCATATTTTCTTTCTTTGTGTAAGGTATGAATATTATCCACAGCAGAAATCGGGCTGAAAACCTACTATGCCCTATTATGCTTCTTGGGGTTTCCCTTCCCTGTAGTGTGTTATATGGGTTTCTGTAAATGGTCTGCAAAGGCTCAAATCAGTGTTCCCTCCAGAGGGAGTTTCTCTCCCACACACTGAAACGCCCTGATTGGACTCCTTTGTTTTCTTCTGTAACATAGTGACATCACCATATAACACTTGCGCTTCTGTTGGCTAGCGCTCCAACACATTTTCATGATAGGCTAAGGGGCGGGACATCTCTAAGTGGTTGACCAATAACAACAGAGCCGGCCAGCTAACCAATCAGAGCAGACTGGGCTCTGGCTTCAGACAGAGGGTGAGAAGAGGTGCTGCAGCACAGACAGTATGAGAAAAATAAAGAGCTTTTTGAACATTAGAGCATGGAGACATGTCACAGTAGAGGCTCTACATACTGATATGATCCTGAAAATTAGCATCATAGGGCCCCTTTAAACTAAATAAAAGGCATGTCTGCTCTCACCATGTCTGTGTCTGAAACTGGTCCGAAGCTGGTGACGTAGATGTTTGTCTTCACCTCTGTTATCCTGTCTGAATAAGAGAGAAAAACAAGGCGTCAAAACACTTAAGAGGTCAACACAATGTTAAAAGTCATTGAAGTGGAGAATATGTGATGTTTTTGATGTTTCCTCAGACCTGTCAGATGCTTAGTATAAACAAGAAAACTGAACATTATAAATGACAGGCTTAATTGTTGTGTTGTTTTAAGGAGAAAACAACAATAATTGAGGAGTATTACTATAGAGCATGAAAGAGCTTTGGTCGTCATTTCTTTTTTTTGCAACAGCCATTTAATGAATTGTAATTTCATTTTTAGTGTCTTAGTCAGCCATTCACATACGCACGACTGACTTTACTGTCCTACAACCTTATTAGAGCTGTGTTACGGTACTGTTAATGAAAAATTAATCTACATTCAACTGGCAAAACACAGGGAGGCTTTTATTGTGAAGCAATCAAAGGAAAGGCGATGTAATTGGTGGCATAAACGCTGACAGCAATCTTTCTTTCAAAATGAGCCTACAAAACAAGACATGGTTTTTAGACGATGCAGCAAATAACGTTGCTCTCTGATTGTTGAAGGTTTGATTAAATTGTAAGTCATGTGGGATTTACAGGGTCTTCCAATAGACCAACTATAAAGTCAATAACATTTTCCGAGTCAGCATATTGCTCACGATATCCTTGTTTATTGCCTTTAACTAGCAGTATTCCCTCGCAGAGCAAGTGTTGTCAGCATGTCTTGAAGTAAAGGGTCATTACTGTACGGAGCCTCAAGCTGGATGACTTGGCCTTGTGCGCTGACAAGACTATGTGATGTTTAATTTGTGCTGGCAAATTCATCAAAAAGTGGGATCAATTTGATTACATTTAAGTGACAAATTGTATCTTGTGCAGAAAAAATTGTCAATGGTGGCCTTGATGGATTTTTCTTTCTCTCTATGGCCACCCCTGGCCTCCGTAGATCAGTATTTTTCAATAACAAAGAGAAACAGATGTCTATAGAACGTATAAATGTGACTTGATACATCATGTTCTGATTATACACCAACAGCTCTTCACATTCAAAGATGTCATTTTGTTCTTAAGGTCACATACGGTTCAACGATGCGTGAAGAAGGACACATGTGTTGCTGATAAATCCCGAGGGTTTCTTTACGAAGTCATTTGCTTTGCCAATCACATGAACTGTGCACAGACTCAGCTCACCTTTACGCGACCTGTTCGAGCCAATTCACAGGCAACTCTTGTAAGATTCGATTTATTATGCCAGATTCATCACGTGCAAGATATGATTTCAAGCGTATACATTTGTTTTAAATGTTCACAGTGATATGATAGATAGGAAAAGCAAAACTCTCATACTGTATGCCTCCTGTTTAAGTGGCGATGTGCAATGTGTGTCCGCGCCGCAGCATCAGGTCCATTTGCTTTCTCTACACTCTGTCTCTTTCAATAATTACTGAAGCTCCATCTCTCATGCTCAGTCAATTCAAAAAGCTTTCACGTGTTACTCTACACTCTGTAGTACACGGCCAGCAGCATCTCACACACGATCTAAAGAGAGTATTACTCCCCGGTAAAGTGCTCTTCTGCATGGCAAGGGGGCGCCGCCATTCAAGCCCCATATTATGAAAATGCTTTCTTATTTATAAGGTAATGTAAATTAGGAGGAAGTGGCAGGTCGGCGGGTAATAGGTGCAATCCATTTAGCAAAGACATGCAGCCAGGGCGCATTTATTTATGTAAACCAGACTTCTGTATGTGAATCAGCCTGATTTCAAATGATGTTTTACTGTGAGTCACAGAGGACTCCATTAGTTTGATTTCTTTAAAGGGAGATGCTCTTTGTGGATGTGAAACAGCATCTCGGTATAAGCCGTGCTGGAGAATAAACGCTGTCACACTGCACTGCTTCTTCTTGTAGGAAGATACTTTGTGGTGTTCTGGAGGTTAATACGGTGAACTGAAATGGGTTCTTTTTAACAGTCCATTGTATCGTGTTTTGGACATTTCTTAAATCAAATCATTTATTTTTCTCTCTTAGGTCTTTCAGGGCAGACAAATTCTTCTTCTGTTTTTTACATGTGTGATTCTGATTGTTCAGCAGTACTGCAATACCACATGGTACAAGTCTCTGTCCACCACTTTAAAGACAAACCAGTCGAAAATCTGCTCAAAGATTGAATGAAGGTCAACCTTAGAGAGAAAAACCTACAATAATGACATGTTGAGGCAAACAACATTATCCCTGACCCCAACCATGTCCTGAACAGCGGAAATGAATTGTTACCATCAAATCAGAGATACAGGCTCCCAGGATCTGGTTAGACTGAAGCATTCTTTTGTGCACCAGTCAATCCTATAGATACAATACAGAGATAAATGTGTAGAGGGTCTTGTGGTGTAAAGTGAAATGGCTGTTCCCTCGTATCTTGTCTTACAAATGTGTCATGTTGATGTTGCAAATGGAGCTGCTGTGATGGAAGAACAATTTCAGACTTGATCTACCAATAAAGTATTATTGTATGGTGTCGTCAATTATCAGAACAACTTTTTTTTGTAGTAGTATTTTTGATGAGAAGCTTCGTCCAGATTTCCGATGTTTTTTAACAAATATTGATTGTGTTTTTCTTCTTATTGTACAGCACATTTATACTTGATTTTATTTGTATTCTTTACATTCAAATTAGAATTGCACTGTTAGCTCTTTTTGGATATTTAAAGTTGTTTAGTTTACTTTAACTGGATACTTATTTATACATTTTTGTTGGATCTTTTGGAGGGAATTGACTTGAAAGGCCTTTTACTTCATGGGCTAGTTGTTTTTTGTGTGTATACAGTATATGAGATATTATGTACAGTTAATGCAGGTTTGTCGACATTAGTTTATCCACCACTGTCGACCGTGTTCAGGATTCTTTTTTGTGATATTGCAGCCAGCAGAAAAAATCAGTATCAATGAAAAGAACCCACAACAATGAAAATCAACAAAGCTCTGTGGAGAAACAAAACCCACCACCAAGTGACTCCTCCAGTCCATTTGCATTGCATGAGTGGAGCAAACTCACAGGCAAAGCTAACCGTATTTGCACAAATGATGCATCCTCGCAGCAGAAAACCTAGGAAAGCACAGCCCTCAGGGAAAGTCCGTGTTTTCTATTTAAAAATATCCAGAGTGCATTTATTGCCCCAGGAAGTCAGGACACTTATTTAAAGGAACGAGGACAATACCCAAAGTTCATCTATTCAGCAAGAACGGCCAGAAACATGTGCTCTTATACTCAGAATCACATGGTGCAGATGGGCCTGCTGAACCATGTTTAATTGGTCAGACAAAAAAACCTGTCTTCTTTAAGGGGCAGCGCATCCTGCCGTGCGACTACACAAAGGTCAGCTTAACTCCTGCCAGTTCAGACCAAAAGCATCGGCACGAAGAAGAAGCTGTACTGCTGGATGGGACAGGGACAGTGAAGGAAATAACTCCAGAGGAAATGTCTTTACACCTGATGTCTTGTGCTGTCGGTGAATGGCTTTGATGTTTGTGTATAGTTAGCTTAGCTATTTCGTCTTATTGTATGAGCAGCATACCAATGTTGTGTCGAATTATCATATAATCATTTAAAAGACTCTGATTGCCTTTTACTTTGTTAAATTGTATTTTTAGTCGTGCATGTGTTTAACAGAGACATATGTTTAGGATTTACATTCCAGGAGGGCAAAAGGAAGTGTTAAAGGTGGATATGCAAATGGTGAATGGTGTTATGGTTTGATGATGGGATGTTTAGAATTGCCTAAGAGAATTGATGGGAAGTACTGTACCAGTTGGCTGTTTTCTTTTGACTATATAGTAAGCTGTGTTCGGTGTGCAGAACCTCTTTATCCTCTGAGGATGGAGTTGCTCTGTTTTGCATTTGAGATCAATTTGAATTGTATTTGACTTTCTTTATTACTTTATTAAATACAACTTCGTCCATTAATCATTTATCAGTTTCTTTTCAGGGAATTTCCACAACAACCAACATTTTGATTACATTATATGTCATAATTCATTATCCTAGACAGCCTACGGGAGCAATTTGGGGTCAGGTATCTTCCAAGGACACTTCGACATTTTAACTACTGGGAATCGAACCACTGTCCCTCAGATTGGTAGAGGCCAATTACCCCCTGGACACACCCGTCCTTATGTGGTCAACTATCAGAGGGAACCAATCCAACCAAATCCCTACCAATCGTAACACAATGATAAAGGTTAGCTTCAGCTTCAGGTTTATTTATACTATGGATGCATAATACATTTGCGGCTGTGCTGTGATTTTCAGGAAAGCAGGTCTTTTTGGAAAAATCATGAATCATTTCAAAATTGGAACCCATCTATCTCTACATCTGTCTGTTTTGTTAAGTCTTGCATTGTATATTTTTTCTAGCAGCTGTTACCATTTCTGTGGATTTTGATCGCCAATAATAACAAGCATCAAATGCATCAAACTCAACATCAACATTGTTTTATTTTAATATATGTCTGTTACGTATAATCTCACATATGCTTAAGCAATACCAAGAACCTTTTTCAGGTTGTTTTGTGTCAATTAGATAACATCTACTCATATTTGACCAAAAATGTAATAATTACAGTTTAAATATTTACTATTTAAGGGTTATATAAAACTGTTTCCTGTCAAGGCAGATACATGGATGGATGTAATAACCATGATATCCTGGAATGCTTTCTACTTAAGACATGAGTACCTTTTTTTCTCAAAGCTCTCTAGTTGTCAACTCACATTGGAAAAGTAGCCAACAACTTTCAAAGCTCCCAACAACTCCGGCATCCGTTACATTTTGACATTCAAAATGTGGCTTTAAAGCTGGAACATAATGTATTGCTCTGAGGGTGAAGTCGTAGTAAGATGACATGTTTTTGGGTTGGAAAACAAATTAGTAGCAGAAGTGTGAATATGAGCAGAAGTGAGCTGCCTCACACTCACACTAATGATGATGTGGGAGCTACTGTGCTTTCATCCACTCTGCAGCCTGGCTAGATTTCATGTGAAAGTGAAATAAAACCAAATGCTATATTTTAAAAGCAGCTTGGTATTACTTCCACACTTAAGAGTAAAAAAAATGCTGGATAAAAACAAGGTAGGGTTACATATCAGTCCACAGTCTTTCCATGATGGGCTCTTTAAAGGAGCACGGTATGTGTTTGCTTCAAAAACCAATAGCCATGTATAGACAGCCATTTCTGTGGTTATACTCTATTCTCTATAAATAAATTAAAGAGAAATGTGCACCCTAAGCCCACAAGGAAATCCATTCATTGTAGAAATGATTACAGCAGCTGTTTTTTTTTCTTTCTATCTCCCCTGAAACCTTCTAGTAGCCTCGAGGGAACACGTGGGATCATCTTGAAAACCTCTGCCCTAGATTCATATTTCTCTTCTTTATCATTTGATTATCAATCGGAGCGGTAAACTGTTTCATCTCTTGTTCACTGCAATAACACACAGAAGGATAGGTTACAGATGTCTCGCCCCTTGGGAAAAGGAATCTAAACAATATCTCAATGTTCCACGTTGATATAGGAGAACTACCATTTCCTTTACAGTCAATGGTTACAGCTCGGTTACTGATTTTACCTTAATGAAGCTTTTTTGTAATGTTTTAATTGGAAATATATGTTGTTTTAGACGAGTTAAGGTTATTTTGTAGGCTATAGTTCGCAGTTGTTAGTGGATTCACTGCATTACAATTTACATTACACAGTTATTTTGTCCATTTTGCAAAGCCGTGTTGAACTGCTCTTTTCTTTGGAGGGAATAAAAAAAAACGCTCAGATTATCATGAAGGAAAGTCCAATGACTATCGGGTTAAATATATTTCAGAATACACTCTGTATGTATGAAGGCAATGTGTAATGATGCTGTAAATAAAAGACTGAATATTTCAGGGTTCACAGAGAGCCACTATGGCATACAATATATCTTAGACACATGCTACTTGAACCGTGAAAACTATAAAAGGGACACATTTTGTTTACCAGAATATACTGTATGTCTCAGTGAACACCCTCCTGCAGCTGTGTTGAGGTGCTTTTCCAGACATTACAAACAACATGTTATAAACTTAGGCTCAGCTAAGCGTTAACGTGTTTCTCCCACAGATGAGACATGAAGCTGTAACGTGTCTACAATGTGGAAAACTCCATCTGATGTCACTTTGACTGCTCCATGTGTACATTCATGGGTACAGTATGGGTCTTAATGTACAGAAATGGGGCGAAGCCTGCGAGCTAGTTTAGGCAGTCAACTCGAGCACTTATGCTGCATTCATACATAACGCCCCTTGCCACTCTACAACCAACCAAACAGAGTCTCCTTAATATGCCGCCCTATTTAACCTGCCAGATATCTCTCTATGCATTGCTTGCTGCTGCTATTGCTGCAGCTACTTCCACGTCGCTGCTGCTTGCCTGCCCCACCACCACCCCAGCTTCCACCCCAGCTTCCACCTGTAGGCTCGGGGGGGTTAGTTATTTAATCATCACTCATCGTGCTATGTATATCTGTGGAGTCATGAGGCCCGAGCCTAGACGCCAAACTCAACTATATGCTGCTTCTACATGTTAAAGAAACACGTGAGTTGTCTGACTGAAATGTTATTTATTTGAACATTTATGCTTTACTTATGCAACAGTCTACATAAGATAGCTGCACCATTATAGGTCCAGTGGTACAGGCTGAGTGCTGCCAGGCTAAAGGAGATCTGTTCCCCATATGGCAGCTCCTGGGCTGATGGCCCCAGGAATTTGAAATTCAAATGGGACCAAATCCTGAGGGAGGAGCTCAGCTTTGGGGTGAGGGGCCAGCTGGAAATGAGAGAGGTGAGGATGGAGAGAGAAGGCTGTGGCCGCAAGAGAAGACACACAGAAGGCACAAAATGTCTTCTGCTGAGAGGGATAAATATTGAAGCCTATCGTGATGACATGGCTGGAAATGTGTCATACCTCGCGAAAGCTGAGGAAAATGCTTTTCAATATTATATATTATATTAAATAATGGTTATATATATATATTTTATTATTATTATTATTTCTTTTTAAAAAAAAATCACTTTTCAAACTTGTAGATATATTCATATTAAAACACATAATGCCAAAACAAAGTAAACAAAAAATATAATTATTTTCAAATTCTGCTTACTGCTACTATTTACATTTGTCTAGCTTGAGGTTTGCAATAACATTCTCTGACCACTTAAAGCACATGTGTCATATTCAAAGTACTTCAAGCCAAATTTAGATTTATAAAATATGAATTTAGGTTCTTAATGAATGTTGGCCCTGCCTTTTTGGACCTGAAGAAGACTTGATAAACTTGCATCAGATATAATATGTCAGGGGATGAGTGAAAATATATGTGATTAAATAGCACTCATCCATTGATTTGTCATATTTAATTCTTTGAAGTAGGCTGTGAGGAAGTTTTGGGTTAAGGGTTTAATATGCAGACGATTGCATGCCAGAAGCTTGTCTGTTAAGAATTGTGAATAACATGAACAAAGAGCTGTTTTTATTTTTGTTTAATTTCACAAACAACCATTGGCTTGTCAACCTACACGTATAAATATAATCATAGTCTTTCATTTAGCTTGACTACATGCTACGATGGCTAAGCAACTTTTTACATTTTTATTTGGACAAAATTGTATTAGAGAAGACCTTACAGGACAAGGAACAAAATAATGAAAGCTATTTTTTTGCGATTAAAAGCATGTCAATAAACTATAGTGTATAGCTGGACTTTCATGTGATCCTCATCTCTGAGTATGGCACTTAGTGAAATTGAGACTGACACAGATGATTTAGAGTGTAGTGGTGGCTTGGCAGATTTCCATTGAATCAACATTAACCATCATGCCAGTAATGACAGACACGTTATGGCTTTCAGACCTGAAAGTGCAAACATCTCTACTAGACAAATATTTCAATTGCTACAGTATTATCTGGTCATATCTTATGGTAAAATAAAATCTACTGAATGCTACATTTCACTCAAAGTGCTCTTTTAAAGATGTATCATCCAAGAAGGGATGGATCCAGGATGTTAGAGCGATCCAGATCAGTCAGATTCTCCAAAAGTTCACCATGCAGCACAACTGAACTGACACTGCGCCCACTCATTCAGCAGGCGTTTTCCCCCAAAAATGTAAGCAAGGATATAACCCTCTGCGGAGTTAAATGTGGACAGTTTGGTTGCTGTGACTTTCCAGGAAGTGAAGTGAGCATTATATAACTTGTTTTTTTGTTCAAAAAGTGTGTTTGTCAATTTATTCTTGAGGGAATTGTTGCTAAAGGCACTACAAATCTGATGTTTAAGTGTTTTCACTCCAAATGAGCCATCAACTGTGCTATATCATTACAAGTCGAAGCACTAAGCATGTACAATGATTATGTTGGATGATAAACATACTTTTGGATTGGAAGTGAAATGATAATGTTCTGTACATCCAGAGATAGAAGATGATTTCCTTACCTCCAAGACCTGGCCGTAGACGGTTGTCATATCCATCCAGCAGGCTGTCCAGGATGCGCGTGAACAGGGTGATGTTGGTTTTAAAGGCATCGGATTGGGCATCGCAGCTCACTGACCTGGGTGCCGGAAAAACAACAAGAACATGAACAGACACTTCAACAAGCAAGAATTTGTTTGATTAAATGTTAAAGCTATTCAGAGTCATAACTCTGTGTTCCACAGAGGCCTGATTTATGGGGAATAAAAAGGGGTCGTTATTATCTGGCAGAGATTTCACACATGCCCACACAGACACACACACATACACATTGTTTCTCATCCACATGGATGACCCAGTTCAAGGCATAACATTTGTGAGCCATCTGATCTTGAAGCCAAAACACAACTGAATATGCAAATGTAATCAGAGCTAGAGATTCATTGTAAATAAATTCAGATAAGGGCCTACATTAAAGCTTGACATATTCACCATTGCCAACAGCTCTAGTGATGTAACAAACAGGTTTTGAGGCTTATTCAATTTAAGCAGGAATGTCTACAATAGTCATCATTTTACACATCTGGGTGATTTCTGTTATCATATTTCTCTCATTAACATCTGAGAAAGTGTTAATGCAGCCTACTTCTTATGTGATAACCTAATAGACTAGGAATAATGTATTTCTTATCTTTAAGTACAGTATGTTAGCAACCGTAGGCTACTTTACCACAGTTTAAATCTACTTGTTAGAACCGCTAGCCCACTTTAAAACTCTGCTAGCATATCCAATTCATAAATCATCAATCTGCATTAGCATGTGTAGAAAACACAAGGTGGAGGAAACCTTTACATTTATCCCTGAAACTGTTCATTCATATATTTTCAATTCATTTGTATTGTTCAGTGTTAACATTTGCTTGCTAACGTTAGCTGTCTGAGTAAGCTAGCTGATTTCAAGGTTTGCTTGGAAGTTAGCCTTCTAAGTTAGCTAAGAAATAGTCATGTGTGTCTCTAAAGAAGAATTTATTTAAACAATTGCAGCTCTTACATAACTATTAAAGATACTTGTATGCATTTTTGTGGAAGTTAACTAAGCTCTGTAATGTTGTGTTGTAGCTTCCTGTTTGATAAAGTTGGAAACCTCACAATTTAAGACAATAACTTTTAGCAAAATGGCTTTGAAGACACAAAAGCTAATACAAGAAAAGCACAACACTGTTATCATATTTATCCTGTTAACAAATAAAGTTTGGTTTGAGGTTTTCCTTGTCTTCCCATGTTTCACAGCAGACATTTTGTCTTACTGTAATTGTAATCGCACAAGTACAGGTGTTACTAATTACATTAATGATGCTCTACTCAGGTGTCCCAGATTGTGACATTGAGCCATCATTTTGGGCTATACTACACCAATGTATCCATTAATCTGATTCTGACATGATTCATTGTATTTTCTACACCTTTGCATTAACTGTACATGTGAAAATGTCTGCCATGAAAAAGGCCTACAGCCTAGCATGGACAATTTGGCCGCCCCGGGCAAGGTTTCTTGAATCTAGTAGGCAACAGTAGTGGGGACACAGGCCTATTGAATAATGGATTATTTAAATTACCTGTCATGCTTGTGACATTGACAGTTTTTCCCTTTTGTCAACTGTCCTCTAGTGAGCGCTCAAATTAACCAAACTGTCACTCCCAATGGGTTATCCACAGACACCTTTACACCTGAGGTGTCCATGTGAGATGTCCTCTGATAACACTGTGGGAGCTTGGCAACAGTCAAAATGAAAGCTATATCAGAATTAATAATTTAAACTAATTAGACCTTATAGTGTACTGTATATTGTTGTATTGGCCTATATTTTTCTTTTAATAAGCTACTATTTCGTATTCCCTTTGAGAAAAAGGCTACACAATTACAATTCAAGGTTTGTATTTGCTGTAGCAATTATCCCATATTAGAATGGGCCATTCAAATAACTGTTAAATAATAAAACTCGAGCTGCTCTTTGGAATGTGCAATATCAAATAACCTTGGAAACCAGTAGCCTATGGATTATAAATTGTATTATAGGCTAGATAATTACCCACATGCCCTACGGGTTATTTTTATGGTCAGACTGAGGATATGAAGGCGGTAAACTGCCTCTCCTGCCTCCTGCGCATTGAGTGCCCACTAATAATGAGCCCTGCGTGATAATAAAATTAAAAAAAACTTGATAAATGGAGACCCCCAGTCCCCAGAGACTCAGTGGGTGAGTGATCCCCGGCATTCAGCTCGTGCACTATCATCGCTTCAAGGCGTCTCCCCCCATTCAAAGCACTCACCTGGTTTTCCAGAGAGCAGTGAGCGCCAGCAGGCAGAGGAGAAGTGGAGGAGCGCTCTCTCTGCTCCACATGGCTGCTTCAACACCTACACACAGCAGGGCAGCCGCTGCAAGGAATGGACGCGCAAATTAACCGGCTTGACATGCAAGTGGATTTCTTTATATAACATGCAGACATGATATCCAACACTTATATCTGGGGATTCCCTTCAGCTCACAAACAAATAAGAGAAGAAGAAGCAGGCTGCAATTAGTATTCACTGACACGTCCCACGCCTCCACTCACTGAACATACCCAAAAAGATTGCAAAGAGAACGATCTGAAGAAGTATTTAGACGATTACAAATCATTACATGCAGAAAATAATCAATAATATTAGAGGAAATGTGGGATCAAGATCTTTTCCATAATACAAAATAAAGAAATAAACGTTTCCTTTGTGTCTGAGAGGGGGATTTACAAAAACATAAATAAAAAACACACTCACCTCAAGTGCAGAAAGTACCTGCTGCAGCTGGATTCGTCGAAGATGCAAGAAAGTTAAATCACCGCTCTCTCCTGTTTTGATGCGACTGAATGAGTTCAAGTGTGTCATGAGAACAAAGCTGCGAGCATTGATAAATCATAGTCCCAGCCAGCAGCAGGAATGCACCCGAAATGCACAGGCTTTCATAGTGTCCCCCCTCCCAGAAACAAAAATGGGAAAAAATGATAACAATGAGATGGTAGGAAATTAAATGTAACACATAAATAAAAAAAAGCAGCAGTTGCGGGAGATGATCCTGATGTTTTAAATTGCCCCTGTTCAGCTTCCCCCCCTCAGCTGGTTAAAAAAAAAAGCTCGATGTGAATCGTGATAAGCAAGAAGCACATCTCAGTCTCCCTCATCTCTCCACAGAAAAACTACAAAGGCTGAGGAGGAGACACACTGGGTCCTAGAGACGGTTTGGTATGCATGCAGACCAGTGAGGATGTTAATGAATGTTGTTTCCACTCACAGCCAATGTATAGTGCCATATTGATTATGCAAAACAGCCAGGCTTTGTTGCATGGTTGCGATGGAAATTGCACCTTTGGAAATGGAGTCCATGGGTTCAGCCATTTTGGTCTGTTTTGTGTGTCACCAACTGCTCATGAGCCTTGGGTTTCTTTTCATTTCAGGCTCAACAAAGGTCTGCTAATTAGACATGTGTACTTAAGGTGATGGAAAAGCCTTCAACACAGCTATTGAACCACGGGACACTAAAACGCGCCACTGAAATACTGATTAATGATGGTTTTGTATCATTATCTGACTTACATATTCTTGGTTGACCTATTTGTGTAGCTGTGGTCAGTAGTATACACTGATATACTATCCAAATTGGCCAATATTGGTGTATACGTTGATTGTATTTGAAGGGGCCCTATTATGATCATTTTCAGGTTCATATTTGTGTCTTGTGCCTCTACTGTGACATGTTTCCATGCTTTAATGTTCAAAAAGCTCTTTATTTTTCTCATACTGCCTGAGCTGCAGCACCAATTTGATTGGTTAGCACTCCGGCTCTGTTGTGATTGGTCGACAGCTGTCCCGTCCCTTAGCCTATCACGCACAGTATAATGTGTTGGAGCGCTAGCCAAAATAAGTGCAAGTGTTACATAGTGATGTCACTATGTCCAGAAGTAAAACAAAGGAGTCCAATGGAAAGGTTTCAGGCAGGGGGGACTGGGGGAGGAACACAGTGATGTTAGCTTTTGTAGACGATGTACATGCACAAAAAGTCACTACAGGAAAGGGAAGACCCCCAAAAGCTTATTAGGACCTCTTTAAGAAACTGCGGGTGAATAGGGTATCATATGTAACTGTTATCACTATGAAATATATGTTTTTGTTTTGCTGGCAAAATTGACATTACAGTTTGTAAATGAGGCAAATTACTTTTGGTGAAATTATGAAAATACTAAAGTGGGCAAGGTGTTTTCTTTTCACTATAGTCCAAATGAAATTCCAAAATACAAAGTTATGACCTGTTGTTCTCGTTGTGTGTTTTATGTGTGCGTGAAACATAGAGAATGGATGGCCCTCTTGACACTCTGCTGTTGCTAGGACAGTTTTTTTGTGGTATAAATTGTTATCCTTTTTCTAACAGTTATTGTAGTTGCAATGTTTACAGCATGTAGACTCATTTCTCTTGTGAGTCTCAAATCATAAACTGACAAATAGCAAAAAAACACCTTATTATATTTTAGATTAGTTTCCTGAGTGCTGCTATTCCTTACAATTATGTCACCGGCTTTAATGTAGAGCTTTGGGAGCTGTTCTTTCAGCACCACACACTGCATGGCTTACATTGGATCATTGTAACATCATCTAACATGTAACTAGTTTTTCTGTCTATGACAACTTCTAAATGCAACAGCAGTGTGGGATCCATTGGTTTATCCTAATATAATAATGTTTATATATATGCACTTTCAATTAAATAGACCAACAAACAGAAAATCTACAAATTCCAAAAACATTCCTTTGCACATGTGATATAGGCACTGTGGTATAAAAAAACGACATTGAACGGAAGACGTCAAATGAATTCTTGCAGGAAAAGTGTATATTTTTCAGGGGGGAAACAAATCTTTGAAATTAGGAAAAAATGAAATGGATTGTTAACCCTTTCTTGACCAGATTAACTAGGCAAGGTGGTAGCAGGTCCCCAAAAACCAACATGGTCACTGCATATCACTCTGTTTTTGGTAATGTTGTGGGGTCCTTTGTAAAAATATGATAAAAATACTTTCATCATTTTAGTTAATATTGTGTTCAGATGGTGCATATTTCAAACATGTGTGTAATAGGAGATGAGGGAAAGCCAGGCAGGCACTTTCTGACCCAGAGCCTCTTAATAGGTTAATATGGCCATGAATTATTCAAGTTTATGAATCTACAGCTGTGTTAAATAAATAAAATGTGTGTGTGTTTGGAACATCAAGTAAACGTCTCGTCGCAATGCCTAGAGTTTATTTTAAACCACCCAATGGTCACTTCAGTTGTTATATTTGTAGTATTTGCAAGTTTTACATCATAAACTAGCTTATTCGTAAAAGTGGTCAAGGATTTAGTTTTAGTTAGGTTTACAGTGTGTGGTTAATGGGTAAAACATACAGTATGACTATATTTTAAAATCATTCTTTTTTAATTACCTTTTCAATAATAAAATGTGTTCTCATATATTTGTATTTCATATGTTCTTATCTTATATGTTTATGTGTGTTTTTCCTTTTTCACCCTTTTTTGGGGGGTTTGTCCGTACATGGACTTTATCCTTTTTTAAATTTTTGTACTTTATCCATACTATTTTTGTTATGCCAATGAAATAAGATAAAATAAATCATAATGACAATAATAATATTTTAAATGCACCCTGTTGTATAAAGTGTGCTATATAAATAAACGTAACTGTGCTTTAAATCATGTAACTGCTGCAGAGGCGGACACAGGTTGGTCAAATGGACAGAAGAGCATTAAGGAGACCTGATTTAAGAGGCAGCAGAGAAAGTGAGTAATCTCTTTCTCACACACACACAGACACACAGACACAGACACACACACATACACACACGCAAAACAGGCTGCTGGACCTCAGGGGTCGGTCCATTATCAAGCAGCCGCTGCCTTCCTTTGCTATACATCAGACTAGCAGGCTGCCCCATTGATCTTGGCTTTAATCTATACCTGCGACAGGTGATCGATGAGCCAGGTCATCTCAATAACGCTGACCATCAAGTCCAACAAAGCAGGTAGGAAGCAGCCTGCAGGCGGAAAAGCAAGGGCATCGAGGACAAAATCTACCCTCCTTTATTCTGTAAATCTGTGTGTGCACGTTTAGTTTCCCGGCTAAACTCGGGTTAAACTCGGGCTGTTAGCCTCCGAGTTACACACTCTTACAGCACAATGCTTATTGCAAGATGTTGCATCAGACTCCACTGCCAGGCCTGAGTGTGTCCCAGTTGGGCACAATGAGTGACAATGCATATTGATCAGGTCCATGTGGAGGTAGGTATGATTCAAGGTTGAAAGGTAGCTGTTAATATTTAATTAAAATGACAAATGTAAGCCTTTTATCACTGTCACTCCTGGTTTGGTATCCTGTAGAAGTCACGTGTGGAAGGGAAATATGTTAAACTCGTGTTAAGACTGTAAATGTTACAATAATGTGATTCATGTCACTTTCAAGGATAGTGCAGTCTAAATACACAAAGTAATTCTCCATTTGTATGGCAATTCCAATCTGGCGTTATTTTTACCACATTACCTGCAAGAGGCGAAAAATACCAAAGGAGCAATACAAATGCAGATTCAGACAGGCGGGAATTGACAGATGTGCTTTCATTCAGTGCGGGTGCAGCTCAATAAGGATCTGGTCGATCAAAAAAAAAAAAGGTAACAGGAAAGTGTGCTGCTGCTGCTTCAGCGGCGCTGATTGAATTATTTTCCTTGTCAGAATAAATATGAAATATGTGCATCTAACTATAGCCCGAGCAAAACATGCTTTGCTCGTTATAGAATGAAATACATCAGAATAAAAATGCTTGACAGACATGTGGGGTGATATGAGTCACATGGATGCATAAATAGCTATGCAAACACACAAATAGACACACACACACACACACACACACACACACACACACACACACACACACACACACACACACACACACACACACACACACACACACACACACACACACACACACACACACACACACACACACACACACACACACACACACACACACACACACACACACACACACACTCAGTGTCCTCTGCTGGAGAAACACAGAAACTGGCTCCTTATAGATTTGGAAACAGATGACAGTGTCAGCACACAAAGACACTCCAAGTATCTTCTCAGATTTCTCTGAGAAGATACTTGGAGTGTCTTGCTGTCTACTTGCTCCTGATATAAGAGTGCAACAGCAGCTGGTTGTTGACTCCACTGACATTTTGGGGAGAAAATACTACCTGAGCCAGTCATGCAGCTTGCTGTTGTCAGTTGCATGTGAGTTGATTCACCAGGCAATGCTGGAAATGCTAAACCAGTCTCAGGCCTGTTACCTCGGCAACAAGCCATGCATGGCAGAAGAATGATGTTGTGAGAGAGAAAAAAAAGATGAGGCGCCCATCGAGGAGCTCTGACACTCTTAAAGTGATAGGTCACCCCTTAAAAAATCCTTTTGCTGAAAACACACAGACACACACTGACACAAACTCTGCAGATCTAACATTAACCGTTATGGCCCGCCTCCAATTGTATTCTTCATAATAAAAGCTCAATTGAATGTATTCCCTTCTAAGGGGACCCAAATTTAGTAAATATTCATATTTTGAATATAATGTTTTTTCTTTATCTGCTTCTTTTACATTACATTACATTACATTACATTACTTTCTTTCTTACTACTTAAAATGTTAACCGGGTGATCTAATTTATATAAAGGGAAAACACAAAGAAGCACAGGTAGAGCTAATTACACTAACGATGGCTATGTTACATTTAACCAGTCAATAGACAGGGTTCTGCCAGTAGGGGTCTCAAAATCTGAACATTAACAGAAGATGATTGCTGTATCTCATTTGCGTAATTCTGTGCTATGAGTACCCTGATGGTGCACTCATAACGGTCAAAACGTTGAGTGTTGAACACTGGGCACTTCTGCCCATGGGCGGTTCCAGCGGGGAGGTCTAACAGGGGTAAGTGCCTCTCTAA